ACTCATGTCATGCTCTTAGCCTCTATTTAGTCCCTAACACGGTAGTGTATCCTGCTATTGCGGGTTCTACCAACATTGACTAGTGTGTGTACAAGTTTTAAGTACACAAAGCACCCCGTGTTGCGCGTTTCGTTCCTGTTATAATCGCAGTTTTGCATACACACTAGCGTAAAGTCGCTCTTAGTATGTAACTTGCAGAAAAAAAAATCATTCTAGTTCTACTAAGGGATGGAATCTAATTTAGCCACCTATCCAGTTTACTTCAATAAACGATTTTCACTTCGTTATTTTTTCCAGGCAGTAACTGTACGTAATATGGTAAAATTTACTTAAGATTCTAAGAACTCGTCTGGCAAAAGCATAACCAATTCTAAACGGTAGATCTGCATATATCATAGAAACATTCACCAATTCTAACTGAAAGCATCTCCATCCACGTAGAGCATCAAAAATCGCCCTCTCATAGTGTTGCTGTTTGCATTGGGCAGCGCGTCTAATTTATTGTCCTGACCAAATGGATACGTCTTAAAAGTGTTTTCTTCGCGAATTTTTAATGTCAGCTGATGCTTTCTCGTACCTGTGAGATTTTGTGAAGTAGCGTCGTTTCAGGACATGTTGCGCATCATTTCTTCTTCACCAAGATTCCTCACTACAATCTTCTTGATGCCACTGAAGCAATTAAAAAGGTTTACTTTTACAAAGTTTTACTTTCCTGTTATGTGCTTAACTGATAATTTTTTAGGTGTTGGAGCCGTTAAAGGGCACACCATATGGCTACAAGTCGGAGACCAACTACGATTTCTTCTTTAGATACCTTTGGTCAAACGTAAAGCTTGACTATCTTATCAACAAAAGCAAAGGAGTTCTCCAATATCGAATCGGAGTTGAGAAAGCCACCAAAAAGGCCTGAAGCTTCCGTGTTCACTTCCCCCTGACCCCCGACATCATCGCAATTTTCTGCTGTCAGTGTGTTTAGCAGTTGTTCTTAGGATGAGCATGGCTCTCACTGTTTGCCTAATGCGCCAGCAACTGGCGACTTGTTTCCTTGTCCGATTGGCCGATGCTCAGAGCTTTGTCCAAGTGTTGCGTCATAGCT